TTCCAATAAATACTATAGTTTAAAAAAAAATAATTATTGTTTTTTTTTTCTCTCTATTAAGTTAGGGTTTGGTCTTCTTCAAATTTCCTTGGTGAGGATGTGAGTGTTTGGGTTGATTTCGTGGCCGTTGAATTCAGGATTTTGGTGATATAGAGGGAGGTGAATGTCACACGTTTGGTTGCGTTCGCGGGGTCTATTGGTACTCTAGCGACCACACTCTCTTAATGTCTCGAGTCTTTTATTATGGCAGATCTAAGGGTGGGGAGCGTGAGGAAGTTGTGCATGATTGTAGATGTGGCGCAACGGATGACTGTGATGATTCGCACGGTGGCCTTGGCGTTTCATTGGCTTGGGGATCTTTGTCCCAGGGTGTTGTGCCTCCTGTGATGGTGCATGTCTCAATGGTGGCAGAAGGTGACGATGGCGCGTGGATCTCATACGCAAGCGAATGGGGCGATTCTCCTCTAATGCTCTTGGCCTTCTATTTGTTTGCTTCAATTGGTTTTGATGGCCGTAGTGATTGACTCGTCACAATTTTTTCGTGGTGTCGGGGTTTTCTTTTCCGTTCAATTTTATTTTTTTTTGTTGCTTTTTGTGTTTGGTATGTAATAAAGGTGATGTTGCTTTTGCCCTAAGTATTGGTTGTCTGTGTGTGTCCGTCTTTGTTTTGTAATAAAGGAGGTGGTTTTTTCACCTTCTACTCTTGTCTGTGTCTGACTAGATTTGTATCTATGTCATGTCGTTTATGTCCCCATTACTTGGAGTTTGGTCTCGATCGACTATAGTGGTCCCTTATAATGAACTTTGTCGCGCTCAAATTTTATGTGTCAAGTGGGTTTTTTCCATTAGGTCTCGACACTTTTGTTCGTCTCATGTTCTTCATCCATCTTTACTGGTGGTTCTAGTCCATGGTCGGGGTCGAATTCCTTAGTAATGAGTGGCCATTTCTGTTTATAATTTATCTATGTGAAATAAAATTTTCTTTTAAAGGAAAATAAATACTACAATTTGTTACACTATTTTTTTTTCCTTTAGTAGAGTACAAAACATTCTAGTTACTACAATTAATTCAAACTCTATCATTTGTTACACGTTTTTTAAAATATACTATTTGCAATAATATACATATGCAATATAGTAATTAAATGTTTGGTTAGAGGATTCAAACCATGATTTGAATCATGGTTCATGGTTCGCTACAGTGTTTTCTCTCACAAAAAATATACGTAAATAAAAAATGATTCTAATCACATGATTTTAATTTATGAACCAAACGTTTCTGACATTTTCAAGTGGCCACTATTGCCACTCAAGATTTAATCTAGGAAATTTTTTGCCGACAAAATTAAATGGAGAGCCAAATAATCACACATTGTAGTATCCTTTTTTCTTTTTTTTTTTTTCGTTTGATGAAATCTCCCCTTCAGAGAAAAATAGTGGGGAAAAGGAAAATTTAGCATGGTGAATCTTTACAAATCATTTTTTTTTTAATTATCAAAATTTCATTAGCGTAAATATCGCATACTTTTAATATGATCTAACACTGGACAACAGTCTTTAATAAGTTTCTATTTTTACTTTTGAAGGGAATGTGATTCTTTAATGATACGATCTGTTTTATTAGAATAAAGTAATGATGCAATCTTCGTCTGTTTTGCTAATATGTCCAAATTTTGATCCATGCAGCATTTGACTTATTGGTTTGATATTCTACTATACTATAATATGAAATGCTATGAGTTATAATGACCCCGTTCATTTCGTGAATTTGAGTTGAGATGTAATATTTTTTGAGAGTTTTTAATTATAGTAGAAAAAGTTAAATGTGATATTTTTTTAAAATTTTTTACTGTATAAATTTAAAATTAAAAATTCAAATCGGTGAAATGAACGAGACCAATATATCCCCGTCTCTTTTCCCCTTAGCAATAGGTCATGTTAGGGAATATTTCCCCAATTCTAAATTTAGTAAGATTTGTTAAATCTTTAATAATTAGGGAGCACTTCGGGTACGTCCCCACTTTTTGGCCCCATCGGCGTGGCCACGACTAAAAGACATCAAATAAAAATACGAAGGCAGAGATACACCGATCTTACGTGGAAGTACTGCATATTGCACAAATTCATTATTTTTAAACATTTGTGTGTTTTTTTGTTCGGTTATAATTTAACAGTATTTGAGAATTCGAATTTTTCTTTATAACAAGAAATAATGGTTATTTCTGTTGTTCAGATTATTCTTTAAACTTCAAATCTAGCTAGAAAATCTCTGAAAAATTGAATAACCAACATCAAAATCTGACTGGAAAATCAAATAGAAAGGGTTTAGCGTGGAAAATCTGCCCACAACTAAGCAAGCTATGTAACTTTAAGTCGTCATTTATAACCACTGGGAGGTGTCACGGTCCTAACAGTACCGCGGTGAGTTTGTAATCACGAGTTCGAAAGATGGGTTATACCCTAAGGTATTAAATGTAAAAGCTTATTTCCTGCTAATCTGGTACTCAACTTAGTGCCCATTTGATAACACCCAAAGGGGTATACTAACGTGTCGCTACCTTTTTTTTTTTTTTTTTTCAATAAAAAACTCATCATTTATAAATTATAATGTTCAACCAGAAATTTGATCCTTTTTGCTAGATCCATACGACTGATTTTAAACTCATACTTGAAAGATTTCAGCAATAGCAGAGGTCAAAATAACAAAGCTGTCATACAATTTTACGCTTTCATATACAAATGCACACAGAAAATGCAGTTACTGTGGTAATGGTATAGACATGAGAAGAATGTATAGAGCAGCAATACTATGCCCACTGTCAGATTCAGCAAAATTAGATTGAGATTTTTTCATCTTTCCCAAAACTCTTTCCAGGATTACCTTTCCCGCCCGAAGTTTCTAGAAGAAAAATAGTAACATCAACTCTCCTCAGAGTCATCACCATTCTCTGGTTCTTTGTGAACTTACCCGGAAATTATTTTGTTTACTAATCGCCGAATGCCGGCTCCACTTGATCATTCAAAATGAAGAGATGTGTAATTCAAGGCTCTGCCGCCCAAACATTTAAAAATTTCTGGCAGATACCTCTATTTATCGCCCTTCTGATCCTGGTATCTTTGCTTTCTTTCAAATCAGTAAAAGCTTCAAAGGTTAGTGCGCTTTAAGTAAAGTAGCACGCCGATGCTAGTTAAGACAGCGGCCCCAGCTAAAAGACCCGTGTGGGAAGATGTCCATCTGGTACCCTGTGTGGTGGCTGTGCTTGACTCTAGTGTTCTTTGCTGGTTCGAATCAGAGAAGTCCAGATGCAATCTCAAGACCTAAGAAAGAGATGGGAAAAACATAAAATGAAGAGCCTCAAAATTGCTTTTCGATTTTGAACAACTTTTTGAAATGTATGACTCGTTTATTTCATTGATAGAAAAAAAATGAAATAAAATCTCAAACATTGGAGAAAGTTTACAGGCGCTGGCATTCAATGACAATTCAGCAAAACATTAATCCTAAAAAATTGAAATAAAATCTCAAACACTGAAGAAAGTTTACAGGCACTGGCATTCAATGACAATTCAGCAAAACATTAATCCTAAGTCCCAACTCCTAACTGCATGCCATCAAATATCATCTTTTTTTCCCAACAATTTCTGACAATGGAATATGATCACATATTACATGAAAAAACACTTGGTAAAATAGCTGGAAAGACCATTTTGTGTATTTTTGTGCCTAATAAAGTATGAATTAATATTTTGACAAACTCAAACCCAATATGCATGGCCCGCACAAAAAAAATATTACCTTCAGACCTATTGAACGAGCATGAGTGACAGCACTAACAAGATCACTATCAGTTGCGAGTAGAACCTTATCACCTTCATCATCTTCGTACTGGGAAGATTAAAAAGAAAAAGGGCAAAAAAAAAAAAAGGCATGAGCATCAATTATTAAGATTTAAGATTGCAGCTAACAGTACATTTTTTGAGATACACACGCACACACCCCAGATGAAAAAAAAATGAAAACAGCTAGAAAACTCACCAAAATCTGAGGGTGATCAGAGCCACTTTCGGCACCAATCCTTTGCATGACAGTAGATAGTAACTCATCCAAGCTTTCTGTACCTGAATAAAACAAATGGAAAGGAAAAATAAAAATGAACGGGCGATGAGTTAAGGTTAATACTTTTTAATTCTAGGTACAATTGGGCAAGAGTATCTGAAAACTCCTCTCCAGCTCCCAAAAGCCCTCCAAGTATAAAAAAAAAACATGAAGAGTAGAAAAGTACAACCCAGTTAATGAGTAATTCCCTTAAAATTCATGAACCAGTCAATGAGTAATTCCCTTAAAATTCATGAAGCCATTGTTGGAATCACCACCAACACCCCCCACATATCACCACAGTGTGTACCCGTAGATAATAGTTCAAAACATGTCCTTTCCTCTTGCTCAACTTTATTCATCAGTAAAATTTAGAGAAAAAAATATGAAAAATAACATAAAACATGATGAAAGATCAGAAAGTCCTTTCTCTTCAGAGTCTGCAATCTTTACCAAATGTCAAACTATATAGCAAGACAATAATACTGGTAAATGAAGAAACTGTTGTATTTGGTCATTGCGAGGAGTTTTTACTTGGTAGCTCAGGCACTCACCGCAATTCAATCGATGCACACGACCTTTAAAATCCTCAAATTTAAAAGAAAATGTATTCCCAAGGCCAAGAGAAGGGTACTTCCCTATCTCTGTCCCATCAGAAGTCATAAATGCAGACATTTCGCTGCAAACAAAATGACCCAAAATAAATTACAGAACTAAAGAGGTCAACAGATAACAGGCATAATCAACGTAGTTTAAGTGAAATACAGTTATCTCCGCACAAAAGTTGTCAACTGATTATCTCAGAACTTCATCTCCACCTTTTTTTTAATAAATATTTTGCTGGGACTATATCTCGGCCAGGTTATTCAATATCAAATTTCTCGTATAGAGCTTCAGAAAGCTCATAACTGGGAAGATACCTGTGGGTGTCACAATCATCAGGCGGCTCTAAAGCAAGTGCTGAATCCCAAAACTTCTGCATCGTAGTGCTGACCACATCATTCACAGCACCAGAGCCGCTTTCCACCTAAGAAAGGCATAGTATAATTACTATACATCTCCACCATACTAAATATCGTTTTGTTGTATTGTAATCTTCCAAAAGATATTTTTGGAAGATAAGTTTCTAAGTTCCATGAGGAACCCATTATTGGAGGGGGTCTCAGGAATGGGAGTTTGTAAAAAAAGAAACATAATGTCGTAATGCTGCATCATCTACTCCAAAAAGAAAGGAGAAACTTTAAATGCTCCACTAAAACTGGTACACACTTATACAAAAAAAATAAAAAAATAAAAAAGAAATCAATACAAGTGGAATACCATACAAAAAAAAATAATAATAAACAAATAAGAAATCAATACAAGTGGAATACCATAGATATTGATGCATGAGTTATCTGTAGCACATCCACGCAAGCCACAACGTATCCATCTGTACAACAGATGTCATGAAATAATCCAATACAATAGCAAAGCTCAGGACTTACAATGTTACCCTCACCTTTGTCCAAAACAGGAAGATGAAGGAACTTCCCATCATGCATTATATGCAACGCATCGAGGATTGTTGTCTCTACAGTGACACATTCCGGGCTTGGTGTCATTACCTTGATAAATTAGCGTGACAACAGGAGGGAAGAGAATCAGCCAGATAGGACTGTACAAAGGACTGTTCGTGAAAAAATGGAAAATGAAGAAACTGGAAAGGAATTGCTCTAAAACAAACCTTTTCTACCAGTGTCAACTCAGGTGAGAGATTTTGTGCCACGACCCGCATGAGAATATCCTTCGAACTACATTATTATAATGAAGCATAAGCAGACATTTTATACATTAAAAAAGCATGTTATTTTTCATTTCAAAAGTCATCTATTTTATATAATAGTCTAGGAAAAGAATAGTACGTAAGAATCCCCTGAATCTTGTTCCCAGTCACTATAACAACTGAATTAACCCGAAATTCCCGCATCTTTTTGGCAGCAACATAAACAGGATCTGATGGTGATATAATTGCAACCCTGAAATGAGATAGATCCACAAATTTTGGTAACTACTAACAAATTGTGGAAAAAATTTTAGTTAACTCCACGCGCTTGAGCTGAAAATAAATACTAATATCATACTTGGCACTTTCAGTAATTATAGTTGACAAAGAAGGCTTGAACATCCGCTCCCTCAGAGTTTCCAGAAAAGCATACGGAGCTGCAACCAATTATGATAAACAGGAAAAAAAACAGTCAAACTTTATCATATACTTGCCATATATGTGACGAATTCAGAGAGAGGTTCTGGAGTTTATATTTTACATACTAAAGACATGTTAATACACAAGTGTACCAGACAAGTACAATAATGTGACATAGGGAACTTTTGATAAATTCACCTTTTGGACACTTCTTGTCACAAAAATGTCCATAAACTTCTTTTTCTTAGTTTTGTGTTCATAAATTGATGATGACTAGGGTAATTGATGATTTACCTAATTCTAAAAGATGTATATTAGTTATGGAACAAGTTAATTTATCACTTGAGATGTATTTAGTTAATTATTTTCCTTATAGATTCTCAAAAGCAAAATGTTGGCATATACAAGTGGAATTCAAAAGTGAAAAATTAGGAATACCTGTTACAAATCACAAGTAGATAAGCAAATGACACGAAGTGATGCCATAAAACACAATAATCTTTGCATAAATTTACCTTTGAGATAGATTGTATAATTTTAAACGTTATAAAAATACAAGATTCTTATCTCCTCAATAGATTTATCTTAATTCAGGTAGTACAAGAATTGTAAAAATAGATCATACTAACAACTCTTGATGCTTCGAATACCAATAATTACAAGTCGAAGGTAGTGTAAAACCTTTTGGTTCTGTCGTCATCATGAATTTTCTCACGTTTCGTTTTGTTTGGTTTTTGTTCATAAAACTAATCCACATTAAATTGACCACAACAGGTGATAATTACTGTAATGTTGGAAACAGGAATTTTTTAAACAAGAAACAGAACTTTATTAAAGAAAAAAGAAAATCGGGGTACAAACTACAAAAGAGAAGAAGATATCATCTTAGAAGAAGCTAAGCTAAAAGGATGAAGAAAAAATCAATAAATACTTCTTTCCAATGCATAACCAGAAGAGAAAAAGGGAAGATCTTCGAATTTCTTAGCAAGAAAAGCCCACAATTATGAGGCTAGGAACTGAATTCTATCCCCCAAATTCAGGGATATCTTTCCATCCAAATCACAAGCAAAAAAAGCCCATAATGAGGCTAGGAATTAAATTCTACCAAATTAAGGGATTTCTTTCCATCCAAATCACCCCAACAACAGCCAGTTCTATGCAGTTTCATAATACAGCTGCCACTTTTCAGGATATATTTAAAAAATAGAAGATAGAAGTTATAGCTAACATATATGTATCTTAGCACGCTTATGTACTTTTTATGCACTAAACGATACATTTATGAGCATAACATCATTCAACTAACCAGCAAAGTTGTTCCCCCACTGACGTTCAACCCCTTCAACCGCAGCAGCAATGGCACTTCCCTGCTCAGCTGCCTTCTCCATTCTTGATATCGCATCATAGAGGCATTTTGTGATATCCAACAAGGCAATGACCTCACCATTTTCTACAACAGGAAGATGCCTAAATTTACCTGTTAACCAAGGAAAATTACATTACTACACAAAAAAAAAAAAGGAGAGAGAGAGATCATTGAACAAGCGATTAAATGATATAGGGACAGATGGACAAAAACACATTCAGAGCAAGAGTTGCTATCGAAATCCAGAACAATGGCACAGCTACTAGCTGCCACATTGTAATATTCGACGACGTAAATGAAAACCTTAGTACGCTACTATCCCTTGGCTTCACACATGCCACAAACATATGCTGGATTGCAGTAAAGACTTTATAATCAAGCAAGACACACACACACACACATGCCTCTGAGAATCAAATTAAATGCCACGAAATTCTTAAAAGACCTCTAGAAGTATACAAAATGACACTTCCCAAATGCACAGAAACCTAAGGTCTGAAATAACCCCTACAGGTACAGCACGGAAACGGTAAATACGAAGAGCAAATAAACAGTTGCTTGTGTTGTTACCTTGGACCATCTTCTGAAGAGCTTCAATGGCTAACGAATCAGAAGTAACAAAAATGGGATTCCGCGTCATGACCTTCGACACTATCGTCTGCTCCGGCCTTAAACCCTCAGCTATAACTCTAGTGGCAATGTCCTGCAATCATTATAAACAAATCTTAGTAGCCTCGAGACCAAGATTTCCTAATGCCACCAAAAAAGAAAAGGCGTTGTCTACTTTTCTATACCCCGCATTTTAAACTTATAAAAAATGTACACCACGCATATTGGATGTTCTCAAAAATGTATCTTTAAATTTTAATTCCATATAAATTATAAAAACTATAACCACTAGTTTTGTCAACTTAAATAACAACTTTATTTTTTAAAGACTATCATCAACTTGTCAAACAACATGTTCAAAGCCGTCATTCAAGGGGGGCAAAATCAGTCAAATACTGAGAGAAGCTATACATACGATATAAAATTGAAATCTTAAGGGTACAATGCCAAAGAACATCTAAAATATATGGTAGGTATTTATAATAAACTTAAAACTGCAGGGTATAGAATAGTAAATACTCGCCTTGTCCGTAACAATTCCCGAAAGCAATGCATTGGAATCGGTCAACAGCACGGCGTCGACGCGGCGAGCGGCCATTCTCCGGCACGCATCGGAGACGGTGGTCCCCTCGGGAATGGTGAGGGCTTTGGACAACCTCAGCTTCTTGACGGTCCTCTCGCCGACAGACCTTCAGAGGAAATCAAATGAACATTAGAAGAAGCTTTACACAAGCTTTTAACAAGAATTTCCAAAATCATCGACAAGAAACTCACGAATTGGCGGGAGGAGGAGGAGACGAGGGCTTGGAGCCATTAATGGCGGCGGCGGCGTTGTTGTCGGTCGGAGGGGTGGGTTTCTTAACGGCGGTGGAGGGACCGCGCTTGGTGGTTAGGCTGGTCCTCTTGGGGCCCACTTGGCTGCTCATCTTCTTGGGTGGGCCCTCCGTTGGAAAACCTAGGGTTTCTTTCTTCCGCAAACAGATTCGATTTCGATTGCTTTGGCGGTACGCTTGTTGTCCGTCTCTAACAACGAATTTGATTGACAGAATTCGAATGCGAATCTTCCAATATGCAGAGAGAGAAAGAGAGAAGAGAGAAAGAAAGAGAGGAGAGAGAAGCCGAGGGTTTTGGGCTCCTCTCTCTCTAGTTGTCTTGTCTTACTGTCTTCCTGTGTTTGTGTGGTTTCTGTAATAAAAATGGAAGATTGATTGACGCTAATATTTTCTTTTTGTTTTTTTTATCCTGAGATTTTTTTTTTTTTTTTTGTAAATCTCTATTTGCCGCTCAACTCTTTACAAAATTATTGTTTTTCCTTTTTTTTAAAGATAAAGCAAGTACACGTATAATGAATGGCCATGTTTGCGGTAGCCACAAAAAATAAAAATAAAAATAAAAATAATTCCCAAACAAAATGTGTTGTGCCACCTAAGTGCACGCAAACATACAGGTAATTTATTAAAACAAAAAAAAAATGTATGACCGTGTTTTTTATTTATTTATTAGGAGGTCACGTTTTTCAATTTCTTAAAGCCTTAATAAATCCAATTGAATTATGATCCCTTCTCCACTTTTTTTTTTTCCGAGACTTTTGTAAAAATAACTCTTTTAAAAATTTTTATTAGTAAAATAATTTTTCAAAAATTTTTATTTATTAAATGATCTCATTTTATGAAGAATAAGTAAATGTCTTTCTTCATAAAAAATAAAAGAAGTTATTTTGTTAATTTTATTTGTTAGAAAGTCATTCTAGCATATTCTCCTTTTTCTTTATTGTTTTCTTGTTATTAAGCAACTACTTCAGAGAGAAAGTATATCTAAGATTTAGCACCAACTAACTTATTTGGAGTGAGAATTTATTAACCCTTAAATGTTGTGATTAAGCTTAAACCAAGCCACAAGTCGGCCATTCTATCAAAAAAAAAAAAAAATCATGTTTTAAAGTTGGGGATAAATTATAGATCAATGGGCACAATAATTATATTTTAAAGTACGAGGTTATGTTGCTATAGGTCAGGAAGGGAGCCACTTAAGGCTTGTGGCCCTAAGTGGCCTTTTTAAAATTTGCTATCTAAAATTTTTTTTCTTGCACTTTTCCCTTCAATTTGCCCCCCGAAATTTTATGATTACAGTTTTTACATTTATTTTAACAATATTTTCAATCATCTCCTAAATTTTTTTAGAGAACCCAAATTTTAATTTTATGTATATTCATATTTATAAAACTTTTTAAATATTTAGATTATACCATAATTTTTAACCCTTTAGTACACTAATAATTGAAACTTAAAAATCCCAATTGAAGCAAAAAAATAACTATACTACTATATAAATTGATAATTTTGTAAACTTTAAACTTTAGAAAGTGAATTAACACTATTAGATGTTTGAATCATTTGACAAAAGAAATAAAAGAAAAAAATATAGCTAGACAGTTATTTTCCTTTAAAATTTTGGTTTAGCCCAAGCTTCCCTAAAAAAGCTTTATGGCTCCGCCACTGCCATAGGGGACATAAATTGTGAAGGAGTTCGTAAATTTATCATAATAATTATTTATAAAAACTTTTAATACTATTAGAAATTTTTACAATTGGAACTGTCTTTTTTCACTACCGGTAAGAATTATTATTTTAGTTGATGGTTTAATTTTTCAACGATCTGGTATATGATTTGAAGTATTTTTATATTGCGCATTGTAAATTTTTAACATAGGACATTCACATATCATACCTTTAAAAAATTAATCCAACCAACAAGTTAAAACAATTCCTACTTAGTTTTCCAAAGTTCAATGTTAGTGAAGAAATGATTTGTTTCAAAAGTTATCATTCAGACTTAAGAAGTTCCAAAAAAGAATGATGTAGGCCAGCGGCTTTTTTTTGTTTGTCATCAAAGGACATTAAACCTAGATGTATTTTTGTGTTATTTTATTTTGTCCTCCATAGCTGTTGTAGCTCAGATGGTTAAAATTAGTAAATCCATGAGACTTTATTACAAGGAATGGGCCTTGATGACAATTAGAGTAGAGAGGAAAAAAAGAAAGTGCATGAACTTAAACACATAAATTGCACATGAGCTTCTCTGGTAAGACCAGAAAAAATAAATTACAAGTAGTTTTCTATTTTCAACCATCAGATTCGTATTAAAAATTATCTGTTCTACATATTTTTTCAAGATGATGTGATTTTAACTTGATCAATAATAAAAAAAAATGACACTATCAGTAAGCCAAGCCTATCAGAGAAACTCTCGAACTGCACATGACACTTCTTAAAACTGCCCAACTATAGTTTCGTTAAACGTCCTTTGAAGAAACATAAAAGTGTGCAATATTGCGTCAGTAATGATATTGAGTGAAGTAAATTGCATATCAAGCAAGTATGATAGTAACAACAGAATGACACTATCAGTAAGTCATGTCTATTAGAGAAACTCTCGAATTGCACATGACACTTCTTGAAACTGCCTAACTATAGATTCATTAAACGTCCTTTGAAGAAACATAAAAGTGTGCAATATTGCGTCAGTAATGATATTGAGTGAAGTAAATTGCATATCAAGCAAGCATGATAGTAACAACAGAACATAATGATACTATTAGTAGGTCATGTCTATCAGAGAAACTCCCAAATTGTATATGACACTTCTTGAAACTGCCCAACTATAGTTTCGTTAAACGTCTTTTGAAAAAACACAAAAGTGTGCAATATTGCGTCAGTAATGATAGTGAAGTAAATTGCATATCAAGCAAGCTTGATAGCAACAACAGAGTGAATTCAGTTGCTCTAAAAGATGAATAGTTGCAACTCATTTGTGATTTACCTTCCACAAACTTCTAACTTCCAATTAGAAATGGCTTTCACCATAAGGGTTGAATCACACTCTATTCAATTATTATTCCACCTTTTTTAAAGTTATAATATAGATCATAAGCTGAATTACAAACACAATCCCAAACCCTTGCCTGAAACCTTACAACACAAAATATTTAACTTGTACAATATGAGCAACACATTAATGTTACTTTCCATAGTACTCATGGCAAAATAATCTCTGCTTCTTTGATAGAGGCATTAATGAAAGAAAATATAACTTGGATTTCTACTATAAATACAAACACATTATTGACTCAAAAACTGCCTAATAAATTATTTGATGAGAAAATTGGTATTGCGTGAATTATAAACTTTTTTTTTTGGTAAAGAATGCGGGGATTTAAACTTTACACCTTAATTAGATGGAGTTCGGTGTAGAATCACCGCTAGCTAACATAAGGCTGCAACCGTACGCGAATTAATTTATAAACTCAACTCATGATCATCAGTACCGTAGGAAGGCTGCAGAGCACGAATTTTAATATCATAAATTTTTCTGCAATCAGAAATTCCATCCCAGGAAATAGAGTATGATGTGTTACTGTTACCACTACTACTACTAGTACTGATCTCTTCTTTGTAGGCATTCCCAATATGGTTACCACATTTGCGGCAGAGAAGCTTGGTTCTTCGTTGGAACAAACCCCATGAACATGACGAGCTTTTGGACGTGAAGAATGGTATGATCAATTGAAGCTTTTCGACCTGAACAAATCGGCTCTCGTCGACGCAGAAGAAGGAGATTATACCTCTCTTTATCAGTTTTCCGTAATTCGAACTGACGGCCGAGGTGTTGCGGTTGTCGGAGTTCAAATTCAGTTGATACCCGCAGGAACCGCAGCTGCAAAACAAGTGAGATGGATATATTTTCATCACAATGAAACAGAAAAAGAGCATAAATCTTTAGTGAAAAAACTTGGTTCGAATCATGATTCGTGTCTCGTTACAGTATTTTTTCTTACAAAAAATATACATAAATCGAGAATAATTCTAAATCATAATTATGAATTTATGAACTAAACGTCGACTTATCCCATAATTAAATTTCAAAATTCGGTCATCAAATACCAAATTTGTCACAAACAAAAATACAGACTAATAATAAGCTAAACAAAAAGTTAAATTCTAATTCAACTTGTTTTATTCACAACCACTCAAATTAAACTTGTTTATTGGTTCTTCTCGTGCTCATCTTCTTTCTCGTCCCAAAAATCACACTAACCACTAGAAATAAACTCTTTACCCCATAATTAATGAATAAACAGGGATTAGCTTATAAAAAACCAACCAACAATAGCAAAAGCAAGAATTTGAATTTTCTTTGCACAAGAAAGAATGTGAATGCGATTTAAATTCTATTCGCCATCCTCTTTCACTAGTAAAATTTACCAAAAACTCCTTCATCCACATTACAGAAACATTATAGAAGATTTCATTTTCTTAAATGTTTAATGGCTAAAGATAATCCGCAACCATTTTGCATAAAATTACGCAAACACAAAAGAGAGAGAAGGAAGAGGACCTGTAGCTGACGTGAGGGAGAAACGACGACAAACGAAGCTGCCGGTTGGGGTCGAAAACGTCGTCGTCTTCGGGGCCAATCATCGTGCTTGCTTTCTCTTGTGGTGGGTTACCGTTGAAGCGTCCAGAGTTTAAATAACGGAGACAGAAAGAAAGAGAAAGACATGTCTGATTGAGTGCTGATTGTGTCGCACGTTAATTATTATTTTTGTTTTGTTTTTCAGTAAAAGATCGTTTAAAGTTCCAACGGTCAGAATATTTGTCGGTTTGGGCTGGGCTATAAATGTTTGGGCTGAAGCTTGTAGTGGAATAGCGCGATCACGGGCTCAAGCCCATTTGAGAAACCTGTGCTAATTTTGTTTTTCAGTAAAAGATCGTTTAAAGTTCCAACGGTCAGAATATTTGTCGGTTTGGGCTGGGCTATAAATGTTTGGGCTGAAGATTGGAGTGGAATAGCGCGATCACGGGCTCAAGCCCATTTGAGAAACCTGTGCTACTTAGCACGTGCGTACTATTTGGAGAAAGAAAAATACTTTATATGGATTATTCTCTGTGTGGCTCCTCAATTCTAAGGTCATTCACATTTTAATTTTTAAACTTTAAAAAATCTCATTTTATTCTTTAATTTTGAATTTGTTTCATTTAAGTCCTTTTGTAAGAATTTTTGTTAAAATCAAATAGAAAAAGAGGTAGTTAAGTGTAGTCATGTGATTTTTATGTGTTTGTTTTTAATATAAATTCAAACATAAATGTTACGTGATTTTGTTATTCTCATTTTATTCTATTTGTTTTTAATAAAAAGGGTTAAGTGAAAATAATTTAAAATTTAGAAGGTAAATTGAGAGTTTTAAAACTCAGAGACAAACTAAGAATAATTTTAAAATTCAGAGACACTAGTAATAATAATTGTATATATACGGATGAAAAAAGAATGTACACAATATTTTTTATATTGTATAAATTCGTAAAATAATCCATAATGGCATTATCACCCTTAAAATAATTAATTATGCAAATTCATAAGTACAATAAACTATAAAGAAAGGAACCAATAGGGGTGACAATTCGTGTCACGTGTCGTGTTTTGATCGTTTTTTTCTAAATTTATAGTCAACCCGAACACGACCCGTGGCACAAAATTTTTTAAAAACCGTAACACGAACACGACACGGCTACTTTACGGGTTGACACGATACGGTATGAAAATGACCTGTGACACGAAATTGACCTGTGAACCCGAAATTGATATGAAAATTGTATACTGTTATTTAGTTTTTTACATACTGTTACACACTAAAATACAATAACATCCATTAAAATTAAACAAATAATAGTATAAGATTTTGAATATAACTATCATGATATCACAAGTTCATAATAAAATAAAAAAATATGTAATGAAAATTAGATGCAGTTTTTAGTTTTTTATGAGTTTCGTGTAGTGTTCGAGTTAGGCGGGTCCAATCCGAAATTGGCCTGTGTTTTTTGTGTCAATTTTAGGTCGACCAAATTCTGACCCAAACCTCTTTTTTCTTAACCCTAACCCACAAAATTCGTGTCATTTTTTAGTCGTATTATCGTATCGTGACCCATATTGTTGGCCTTATCCTCTCTCTATCCATTTTCTATTATAAACTATGCTAAACATTCCAACCTAGTTTATAATTAATTATGAATATCCGAATAAAGGAATGATATTGCATACCATAAATAACAAAAGAAAAAAAAAACTTACTAGTATACTCAAATATATGTTCAAGCAAAACAAAAAAGTATATATGTTATAGTATATATATAATATTCTAATTGCTATAAAAAATACTTAGGACGCCATAAGCATTGTAACTAATAAAAAAATGAGTTTTATTTGTGAATCTCACACAATAAAACCTAATTTTTATTAATTTATGATGCTTATTAATAAAAGTGTTTGGGAACACCACTGATATTAAGCACTGTCATTAATAAATGGTAGACTCACTTATAACTCTTATTAAGCAGGATTTATTTTCTATTAGTGCTCAGCATCACAAATGTTCCACAACATTATTCTGCAAGGACGAAACTTTTCTCCGATATTTCTGAAATTTCCACTGAAATTTTTGGGCGAAATTTTTGATTTTTGATTTTTTTAACTTTAGAGTACCGATATTTTTACTGATATCAATATTTTCGTCTATTTCTACTCACAAGTATTGCATGCCCATATAGTACTGTTCATAATTTGTTGTTGATCGGTTGAGGTAGTCAGAGTCGGTCACATCCAATGAATGGCTCCAACCGTTGTGGAAGGAATCAAATTGACCACTATAGACCATGAAAATGAAGTCATTTGTGGTATATTTCGACTTCAAAGACTACAATATTGCCATGTCAAATGATTCCCCTAGAGATTATGGCAATATTTTATTTCATTTTTTCTCAAATGAAAATACCGCCACGTAAAATGATTCCCTTGAGATCATGACAATATTTTATTATTATTATTATTATTATAATTATTTTCAAATGAAAATAAGTCTTGAGGATAGAAAGTCGTGGCCAAGTTGACTACTAATGAATGTGGTTCTGGCTGTATGTAGCTAGCTAGGGTTGACTTTAATTTCTCTGAATTTCAGGCCTCTTGTTATGGGTGGGGTACTAGGGTTTAGTCTATTAAATTTATATGGGATACTCAAGATTTGATCGAGCTTGATTGAGTTTCATTGTGCCATAAAAAGGAAATCAATTCAATTTTGGTAGATTTTCCTTTGTCTTTTCAAAAATAGGAAAGAAAAGAAAGAAAGAAAAGAAAAGTCTTTATCAAAGTCTGGTCAATGCTTATCGTTTAAATTAATTATAAAATAGTTAAGTCCATGCTTATCAGAGTAATCAAGAATAACATCTATTGTTGAAAAATGACAAGTAGATTCCTTATAACCCTTAACGCATACAAACCTACGTATAACTACTCTCATCGACGCCATAAATACGTAGAGAAAAATACTATTATCGTACTATTTATCCTATTACATCGATAAAAGGGCAAGACTTTTCTGTTTGACCACCCTTTCTCAACACAACTGTGTCGAGAAATGGTGATTTTAGGAAGCATTCTCGTCTCGTTCATTTTTTCTACTTGAATAATAATTAACTTTTCACCCAAATTAAGTTGTCTGTTTAATTTTTTAACATGAGAGTTTTTTCTACGTGATTTGTGAAATATTAGAGGACATAATTCATCTTTTCTAAAAACATGGGTGGTGGTCGAAAGCCGCAATTCGATAAAACGAGGGTTATATGATCCTTTTTCTGTAAATTTTAGAAATCGTAGTTATAGTAGAAAAAAAAAAAAAAAAAAAAAAGGCAATCACAAAGGAGATTTTTATCACAATAAAAAAAAAAAAGAAGCTTTTGCCGCGTCGGAGAGCAAATCGCATTATATAAGAGTTAATCCATTGTTAAGTTTAACCAAAACAAAGTTAGGGGAAAAGGTTGTGTTTTGAACTCTTTGAACTTTTATTAGATTTCTTTCAATGTTCATATTATATTCTGATTTAATTAACTCATATATGACTTATAAAACACCTATATTACCCAATATAGTTAATAAGTTTGAGTCTCTATATTCTTGCACTTGCAAAATCACATTGATTGATCTAGACTAGTGATCTATATTAATGTGTGTGTACCGAGGGTGATGGAATGAATAATAAACAAAGATCTGTATATAATCAAGAAAAATTATGTTAAAAATTAGACACCTGATTTTATATTAAGTAATAAAATTGAAATGAGGCAAATAAACAAACAAACAAACAAACACAAATTTAATGGCATGTTTACTTATCAGGGGTGGGAAATGGGAATCAAGAATCGGAATCAACTCCATGTTTACTTACTCATTTTTATCTTGGAATGAGAGTGAAAATGTGTGGGTCCCACACCAATTTGGGGTTGAGGAATGAGATTAGCACTCCCCTCCCCCCACCGGATTGGCACTCCCAATCTTAGTATTAAGATAGTTAGCATAATATACAATTTCTTTTTTTTTTTAAGTTCAACACACAAAAATCTACTAAAAGGGTAGTTAAATAAATTTATAACAGTTTATTCCGATTATGAGCGTAAGTAAACGCATGAATGAGATTGAGATTGATTCTGACTCCAATTCTTAAAATCTAAGTAAACAGCTTATTTTAACTGATTTTTGACTCTTAATTCTTATACACTCAGAATCATATCCACTCTAATTACAGATAAATAAACATGCCATAATAATAATCACATTTCTTTTTTTTTTTTAACAAAGAGAGAACGTTCATTTTCAGCCGTGCAGAATTTCACTATATATGTGAAATTATAAGAGAATCCACGTACAACTTTCAAATTCATTGTTGTTCTCTCTAACTTTTATCAATAACCTAAAAATTGTCAATAAATTATAAAAATATTGAATCGTCGTAATCGGATATATATCACCTTCGGCGAATCGGCATGCATGTGGAAATTATGTGAAACATCGGTCCACGCACTAAGAGAGACAAGCGCGTGGGTCTGACACTGCTGTTAGGCACCGACTCTTCTAAGGGAAGTGACAGATCAGCCATTCATTTATCATCATCATATAAGATCATGTTGGTCATGTAATGCTCTGTATCTGATCAAGATTCTGTACCAGCCCACAATCATTATGAAACACATGAAAAAAGACTACCGTTTTATTTGCTAATTTAAATTTTTAATTTGAGTTAAAATATAATTTTATGTGAAAAATTTTTTATTATAGTAAAAAAATTAAATGTGACTGTTTTTAAAAATTTTTTACTATAGTAAAATTTAAATTTAAAACTCGAATCAGTAAAATGAATGAGACCTAAAAGAGTGTTCCAAAAAGTGAAAAAAAAAATTTAAGAGAGAAATAGTTTCAAGGACGACTTCTGTGGACTAACCGTTGAGTCAAGAATGCGGCGCCACCCCACCAATATCATGCCATGAGGTGGGACAAATTTTAATTCATTTTGAGGTTGGCAAAATAAATAGAATCATTCTCACCGGTATCTTTTAAATTTTAGAGTCATTTTCACTTATATTAGATGAAAAAAGAGGATATTAAGTATGATTATGTAGTTTTTAATCTATTTCTTTTGAACATAAATTTAAACAGAAAGACTATGAGACTGCGT